CACACACACACACACACACACTTCCATCCCTGCTTTCTTGCTCTCCTACCTTCTCCTACCCATCCATCAGGGTAGGAATGCACTCACAGAAAGTCAAAGTAAAGTCAAAACTCCTACTGCCACCCCAACAGCAAATGCAGTGTTTATGGACCCAGGTATGGTGACACATGCCGTTGTTCCCCAGCACTCAGGAGACAGAGGCAGGTGGATCTCTGTGAGTTGGAGACTACTCTGGTCTATAGAGCAAATGCCAGGCCTGCCAAGGCTACTCAGTGAGACACTGTCTTTAAAAGGTGGTGTTTACAAGTTCAAATGAGGCTTTAGGGCAGACCTGTCCACAACTGGTGTGATTATAAATTTATATATTTGGCCATAATGACAGAACACAGAAGACATTCTGAAAGACATAGGGAGAAGGTGACTGTAAGCTGAGAGACATGTCTATGATGTGAAGGTCACCAAGAATTGCAAGCAAAGGCCAGAAACTAGAAGAAACTGCATAATTCCTCTGGAGCTATCTGGACTGACAGACACCGTGCAAGAAGCGCTGCAGTGGATGCAGACCTTCCTGGAGACGGCTGCTATATTGGGCAATTATCCTGAAGATCAATATGAAGATGGACTTTCATAAAACAATATTTTTGGATGAATTAATGATTTTTCAGAATCCCTGATTGGACTTATATCACTTTAGGAAGTTAGAGTAACTGGTAGAAAGTTTAAAGTGATCATTTGTTTTAATAATGTTAGAGTTAAGAACAGAATGCATCCCTCTGTTGAGGGCTGCATAGGTTAGCATAGGAACGCAGTGAGATTTCACACCCACACGCCTATTTTGCACTTGGAAGATAAAAGTAGGCTTGGGAGAAGTTAATGTTCAAAGCAAATATTCATTCTAGGCTGTGTCTGAGTTTCTTGACCTTGTGATCTAGGGATCATAGGTTTGGGTGTGCATCATGAAAAGGTAGAGCTATGAATAAAGAATATGTCATTCTATAATGAGTTATTATAAATATATACTATTTCTATTTAAAACAATATTTTCATATGTATAGTTCTATAATTCTATAAGAATAGAGAACAGATGATTAGCCTTTGAACAAGGCTTCAAAAATAAGTCCTGTTTCTTTGTAAATGCAAATTGTCAGCTAAGCTTAGGAAAAAATTCACTACTATAGACTGGCTTGCTTGAAGTTTATTGATCAATGACAAAAAATTGTTGCTTTGGAGTTACGGCGAACTTGTCGGGAGAAAGATTGGTGGGAAATGTTTAATTAGGTCTGAGTTTGAAAACAAAAATACCTAATCAATAATCCTGTTGTAATTTCTTTTGTGTAATGATTTCAATGTGTTTTTGAAAGGTATGTTTTCACTGTGATTGTTTTTATAGAATATGCAGGTTGTGGCTATGAGGCAATCTTTTCCTTACATAGAGAACTTTGTCTTAGCTGCTAGAAAGGCTAAGAAAAAGTAAAGTCGTTGGAGTTTGTTCCATCTGCCAAATGTGCATATGGGTATGTATCTGTTTATTGATGTATGTATGCGTGTCTGTATGAATATATATGAACACATAGATGAATATCTATCTGAATACGAATCCACTCAGTGTACATATGTATGTGTGTGGTTCTTTTCCCCTTTCCCTCTTTCCCCAGTCTCTAGCTACTATCAGTACTGACCCCTGCTGGCTGCTACTAGTAAAGGCCCCCAGTTACCCACTCTATGCCTGCCTCAGTTTACCCTCTGGCTTTGAAGCTAGCTTTTGACACTGGACATTGTGGTCTTTCTGTCACCTTGATTTTTGACTTCCAGTGTCCAGAAATCTGTAAGATGACAAATGTCTACTGTTTAAGACACCCAGATTCTTCAAAAGGGTGTCCCAGGAGTAAAAGTGGGGTCCTGGGATCTCTTTCCTATCCCCCTGCGAGTTTCACCTCCTAAAACTTCAGGAACCACCATGGCCATGATGAGGGAGGCCCAATTTGGGCTCCTGTAGGAGGCCCATAGAAAACTTCATGTGATGGGATCTTTGCCCCTCTCTTCTACAAATCCTGTTTAACCATCTTCCACTCATCTGCTGCAGATGCTTATACTCCGTCCTTCTTGCTAGCCTAACAACCAATCAGGAGCAGGGGATGTATTGTTATTTCTCAGCCATGATACTAAGGAGCTGCAGACACCAGATACCTGATATGCTAGGATGTTGAGGAAGGGCAGCAAAGGGCAAACCTAGTGGGAATAACACACACTCCCAGACAGGATCCTAGACAACATGGGTCTCAAAAGTCAAGGCTCTTCCACAGAGCCTCTGTGGCAAACCCTGGCTCCCCAGGCCGATCTTATCCGGGAATTGATCACCCACCTTGCTGTTTCCAGTGTTCTGGTATCTGAGTAGACTTCCTTTTCTCTCTTGAGCAAGTGCAGCTACTAAACCTCAGTTCTTATCTCCTGAGGCTGGCAGTCCTCAGCCTGCAGACGTTCACCCAAACAGTCGGCACTTAGGCCCTCTGCTTGCTGGGTCTCGCCTGAGTGATCAGGTCTGAATGTGAGTCCATTCTACCCTAGCCAAGCTTTAGATGGCAGCCACCTCTACCTGTCCCTGCTGTTACCTCCCAGGCCTTCATTCTGTCCCCACAGACTTCCTGTTACATGTTTCAGTCTCTGTCCCTTCCTCACAGGGCTGCCTGCCTCTGACCCCAGGCTTCCCAAGCCTCTCTCTCGAGGGTGGGACAACACAAGCCATGCTTACAGTTTATGTTGTGCCCAACTTCACCTGACTTTTCTCCCACGTCACACCTGACCCCTCTGTGCTCTCAACTCTGGCTACTTCACCACCACAGGCAGAGCGTACCCTGATGGAAATACTCAGTCCTTGAAGAGTTAGGAATACTCAGATATATACAAGAGCTATCTAGAGGGCAGGCCCAAGTCTACATAGGAGAGTCACTTATGTGTTATGTGTGTCTTATGTACAACAAGAATCTAACATTTGGCTTTTCTAGAGTCCTACATTTGGCCTGTGGTCTGACCTCCACAAAGTAGACATGAAATTTCTCACTGGAAACACCATGCCACCATGTATCTTGTTGTTAGCCTTTCTTAACATGAATTTATCCAACTCTGGGCTGAATCTCCTTCCTCCCATACTGTAGGTTGTCTCCTTTGATCTACCCCCCTTACCTGCCACCAAAACTCAGGTCTGACCCATCTGTGAGCCTCAGAACTCCAGCAGTTCTGAACTCGCCTAACTTTTTACGAACAGAGTTGTGGGCAGGACCTCTAACTGGCATCTGGTTTTAAAACTCCAATGTTTTAGAATTTACTTTTTAAAGTTTGTGTGTGTGTGTGTGTGTGTGTGTGTGTGTTCATGGAGGGTATATGAGTGTGCACATGCATGTGACGACCAGAGGCCAACCTTAATTGTTGTTCCTCAGGAGCCATTTGCTTTGTTTGTTTGTTTGTTTGTTTTTGTTTGTTTGTTTGTTTGTTTTCTGTCACCGAGATGCCAGGGTTCACCCATTAGGCAAGGCTGGCCTGGCCACCTGTGACCCTCAGAGACCTGTCTGTCTCTACCTCCCAGGCCTGGGTTGACAGGCATTCATCACCACATACTACTTTTTTTTCCTTTTTTAAAATGGGTTTTAGGACCAGCCTGGGAGCACTTAGGGGGGGATCCAGGGCTTCAGCTGAATATGTAAAAGTGGAGGGCCCTGCTGGGCATAGGTGGAAGAAGAGAACCTTGACCTCATGAAGGCTGGATGCCCCAGGGGGTGGGAATTTTGAGGGTGGGGAGGTGGGAGTGGGGGGGGTAGATAGAGGTTACATCCACAGAGAAGAAGGAGGAGGGGAGAGGGGATTGGGGGTTCCGAGGGGGTGGTGGGGGATGGGGTAAGGGGACAACATAGGAAATGTAAATAAATCATCCAATAAAAAAAAATAAAATGGGTTTTAGGGATGGAACCAGGGTCCTCACACTCGGCAGGCACTTTGCCCACAGAGCAGTTCCTCAGCTTTCCATCAGGTGACTGCTACACCACAACCTGAGCAGATTTCAACAATGAAATACATATCATGCTAGGTGTTACTAATCTGGAAGAATTATGTAATATTTGTGTCTTCCCAAGACTTCATGATTCCAAACCAGATACAATGAGGGTGGTTTTGATCACTCTTCAGAACTGATACAATTAGAATTTATTTTGTAAGAAGTAGAAGGTCTGAATTTAATTTCATCTTTCCGCCTGAAGAATGGCGTTGTGCTAGTACCATTAGACTGTCTTTGAATGTATATAGCTTTGCTTTTTAAATAGCAAATTAAATGATTGTGGTTCCCTTATTAACACTTCAATAATGTTTATATTTTTATTTTTCCATTAGTTAATCTATTTGTGTACTTTACATTCTGATTGCAGTCCCCACTCTCCACTCCTCTACAACACAGTCCCTCCCACAGGTCCTCTGCTCTTCTCCTCTGAGAGGATGCAGGCACCTGAGTATCGAATGTCCAGGGCCTATGGAACTCAGTTTCTTGACAAGGCACTCATTTGGAAATGTCCCCAACCCCAACCTTCTAAAACACACACATACATACACACACGCACTCGCAGGCATGCACACGCACATGCGCGCACACACACACACACACACACACACACACGGCCTTTTTCCCCTATGTTTTATTGTATTTGTATGTAAACATTTTATTACAATGTTCCCTCTTAAGGCATTTTTTAGTTCATATCTTAATACTGAGGTCTCTCCTGTTTTTTTCTCTAGAGTGGTCACTTTGGAAAGTATTGACAGGCTGTTGAACATTGCCACTGAAATGCTTTCAAGATGTTAGTGGTTTCCTTTGCTTCAATGAACACAGACCAAGGAACACTTGATCTGTCTGCCGCAGGTCAAAATCAAATATGAAGAGCTGTGGCTGCCATCCAGTGAGGGAGGCCAGGAGATGGGACGGACCAGAAGCATCTCATGACTTGATGGATCATGGAGTGCCTGACAGACAGCAAATAGGTGAAGAAATGATACAACATCCCTGGCTCCAGGTGGATGGAATATATAAAGACGGATCTCTGCAGAGCAAGCATGTGTTGTAGAAAAGTTAAAGCCATCGGTTCAAGGCTTTAGATCCAAAAGGAACTAGAAAGAGGTAAACGAAAGCACGTGTATATTTGCACCAAAGGCCGCTGCAAATATGGCCCAAAAGAAGGGTGCTGCTGGGCGACCCAACTCACGGCAATGTAGACCTGATAATTGCTGAGGGAGCTGTTGTGTCTCCTGAACAAAATTAGAACATTCGGGGGTGACATGTGTGTCCCACAAAGGGCCATGTGGAAAGAGCTATTCAGTCTCATCCAAAAAAGAAGACACTCTGAGGGACAAAATTGTTCATGGGCACAGCTCACAACCCCCCTTCCCTACCACCAAAAAAAGGCCGATACTCAAAACACACACAAAAGTCATGTGCAAACTATGCAACTGAGAACCGAGTGACATAATGCCATTGTGCCTGGTTTGTCAAGAAGGTACTGGTTGCCAAGGACCACAGTCCCACAGCAGACCCTATCTGAGGCCAGTGGGAGTAGAGGTATCCAGGCATTCTGGAGGGAGAAGGAACGAACAGCTCAGCTGTCTAGACTAAGTCTCCGGGTGTGCTGTCCCAGATCCACAACTTGGCTTGTCTGCAGTTGAGACCATGAGTTCTAGACACCCAGCTTTCCCCATGGGCCCTCGTCCCTCCAGCCTGGCCACAGCTGTGTCCAGCTTTGTCCACATCACTGACTTCTGTACGTAATAAGTGTCCTCAGTGCCCTCTACAAGGTTCCCCAGGAGCTTCAGACAACCATAGAGGACCATGTCTGTTCTGGTATTGACATTAGCCTGCTCAGTTTTACAGTCTGACCCCTCAACGGGGTCAACTGAGAACCTCACCTTTTACACTAAGACAGAACTATGCTAAGTTATAGATGCCTGAGGTGGACAAGCTGTACTCAACACTTCTTATGCCTGAAACAGAGGATGCAGGGATCATCCTCAGAGGCCTCATCCCCACTCCAAGAAGACAGAGGAGAAGGAAAGAAGATCCCATAGAAGGCAGGAAACTGGAGAGAGAGATGGTGGGGGAGGGGGACATGGAGGGAGAAGGAAAGAGAGAGGGGAGGAGGAGAGCACAGGTGGGGTATTGTTGTGTCAGGGCAGAGAGCAAGGAAGAGCATGCATCTCAGTGATGGTCCTGTGGTGATGGTTGGCTGAGGTCCACATGCTGAGGCACAAGGCTGCTGGTGTGATTGGGAGGTAGAAGACTCAGGACACCTTCCCAGGCTGGCTATTGTCACAAGGGGGCAGTGACAGGTAGTCCTGATGCTTTAGGGACTTGAAAAACTGAATGGCTGGCACCTGGGTCATGGGTTGGAAGGGAATCTTTTTGACAGGTAAGTCCTGGTCTAGGTCCTCAACCTCAGGGCACAGGCCTGGAGAGGGTGGCTTACTGTGTGGTGAGAGGGGACTGGGTCCCAGGCCAGGGAGGAAGCAGTAGTCCCCAACCTGCTGAAGAACAAGGAGGCCTTCATGGTGTGGGGATGCTGGGCTTACTTCCTCCCTGGGCTCTCCTGGGCTCACTGTGAGGCTGCTTGTCACAGGAGGAGCAGGATTGCCAGGAGGGGACATGGCAGGGTGGCTCATGCTTGGAGGAAGCGCCACATAGTCCTCAAATTCTGGTGGCCCAAGAGCTGGGCTTCCACTGGGGACCCTGGGCAGCTCAAGACAGAGACTGGAGCTTTGTGCTGAGGGGAACCCTAGGGAGGGGCCCAGAGAGGTAGACAGGGGCTCTGTGGGCAGAGTGAGCACCAGATCTGCAGGGGTGACATAATCAGAGGCCATCATACTGTCCTCAGGGAACCCAGTGTATATGGGAAGAGTCACTGGGTTGTCCCTTGGCTCCTGTTCCTCTACCCTCAGCTCAACTGGAGGGCTCTCCTTTGGGTCCATGGAAGGGCTCCCTGTGGTCTCCAGGCTGGACCCACACTGTATGTCCACAGCCTGGCCCTTCCCCATCACCTGGGACAATGGGACCAGTTGCACTTGTCCTCCAGGGGGCAGACACATGTACTCCAAGGAGCCTGGCAGTGCTGGCTTCAGGCTCCCACCCACCTGGGGGGAAACCAGCTGGCCTGGGAGATCAGGCAGGGAGTTGGATTGGGGAGGCCCCAGGTAGGGGCCATTGAAGTCAAAGCTGGGAATTTTCTTCCTAGGCCTGCCAGAAGGAGTTGGTGGGTCTTCTTGAACATCGGAAGGCTGCTCTGTGGGTTCGGATGAGGCGGCTGGGGTTGTGTCAGGCCCAGATGGTGGATCTTGAACCATGTTAGGGTCCACTATGGTGAGAGGTGACACTTCATTGTCCTCCAAATGTGTATATGACACCCTGTGAGGGACAATGTAGGCAGAGATGCGGTACTTAGATGTTTAGCGTATACCCAGAGCAGGTGAGGCTCCTTGGAAGGCCTGATCCCCCCTCTAGGCCTCACAGTAAGCACTGAGGCATGAGACCCTGTGAATGACATGGTGTGTGTCCAGTGTCCCAAGGGTTCGTGTGCCCAGGGCTCAGTTCACACCACCATCCTAACTTTTACTCTCTTCTGCTCCTTGCAGCTCACCACCTTCAGGGCCGGGTTCACACATGCCTCTGTACCATTCTTGGCTACTGACTTCCTGACAGTAGCCAGGGAGCATCCTGGCTTAGCACGGATGCAGTCTTCAGCCTCCCATGAGGACATTGCAATGCAGGGATTACATAGGTAACCTGGCAAGAAGTGGCTTCATGCTCCAGGATGCTACTTCTGGTTCCTTGTCTGTTTCAACCTAACCTCGGAGTTAGAAAAAGAAAATCTTCCTCATGTCTCCCTGGAGTGCCACTTGCAACAGTGGGCATCATCTCCTATCATCTACTCAGAGGCCCACGGCTACCCTGATGTGCAGCACAGGAAGGTTGCCTCCATAGGCTCTCCCAGGTTCAGAGCCCATCTACTCACCCCAGTTGTTCAATGAAAAGGTTGCTCTGTGGCTCCTGGGCAGTGGGGTTCTTAGGGGTGAAAGCTGCCATGCTGCCAGCGAGCCAGAGTCCTTTACCTCCATCCTAGAAAGGGAAGAACATTTATGTCTGTGAATGTGGCACCTCATGAAGGAGGGGAAAGAGGGTGACAGCCTGTGGACATGGTGTCTTCCATAAGCTCCATACACAGAAAGAATGCTCCCTTGGTGGGTCCAGGTTCAGGCCTCTGACTCCAGGAAACAGAGAGGCATCCTAGGGGTTGTGAATTCCCTTATCTCTAAAGCTCCTGTCGGGGGCAGCCATGTTGCTCCCCAGAGTTTCTTCTCTCATTGCCCAGGTGTCTACCCATGGCCATTGTTCTGTGAGAAATGGACAGCCCTGTCCTTCTGTCCTTCACATTCCAGTCTCAGGAACTCACCCTCTGAATAGACCCTGGCTGTAGAGAGCTCTCCCACCAGCTCAGAGGCATCTTGCTGTGCTAGGATTAAGTCCTGACCTGGAGCCCCTCAGCACCCTCTCTATCCCCAGGAGAAGACTCTCCTGAGCTATCTTGTGCAGGAGAGTGCTTTTCATTCTGTCTGTGGCTCCAGACAGAACTCAGGGCAATTTGGGAGACTCCTTTTCCTTAGGGTACACAAGCAGCACCAGAGATCCACCTCCTGCTGGCCTACCCTTCCAGCTCTCCCACCCTTCCCCACTGTGACAGTAATGGGACAGGGAGTCAGCAGCAGGACCTGTCTTCCTACCTGGAACAGGAGGCTCTTGCTGGGGTTGGGGATTTTCTCCTTCCACTTCCTGTACAGCCTGGAAGACAGCAGGAGGGTGGGGCCCAGTGTATGCAAGGTTCCAGAGACCACTGGGACAGCTACTTCTGTGCCCATATATTGAGTGAAAACTGACACCAGGGGTGTAAATGGTAGGCTGGGAATGCTAGTGTGGCCAGCTGTGTCATCCCCGTGACCCCAGAGTCTGGATTCCTCTTCCCTCTGCCCACAGACTGCACTTACCTGTACCCATAGACACAGCCAAAGCGGAGGGCCAGGAGCATGATGAGCATGAGAAAGACGGGGATGAGGACTATCCACAGCGTGGGCATCACTTGTTCAACAAAGAGAAGCAGCATTAGGTGGGAGGCACAAGATGCAGGCTAGAGGAGAAGGCTAGTGTCCCCAGTCTCTCTGTGAAAAAGGACAGAGACCTGGGAAGAACCACAAACCCTGGGTCTGTACCACGTGCTCACTATGAGGGCATTCTGCTTTAAGCAGCAGCAATACCCTGTGGGACAGGGGATCACTGAGTTTGGCAACTGGGGGGAATTTCTGAAATAAGCAGCATTCTGATCCAGGCAGGTTCAGAGAAGATGAGAAAGTTTGCCTCAGAAGGTCCCTCTGGCATCACCCTGGCCTTCTGTAAGTCCCCTTCCTCCCCATCTCCTGAGCTTGTGGCTCCAGCCCTCCTTCTGACAGAGTGGCTGTCACTCTTTCAACAGGGCTGACCACAGGGAAGAGTGGCTCTCCAGCCTCCCTTGTCCTGGTCAGTAGAGCTGTCCCAGGAGTATGGTGGTGGCCGAGGGACATACCCCAGTCAGTTGTCCAAGTGTACTCATTGCTCCACTCACTCCAGAGCCCATAGTACTTGTTGAAGGGCTTGACTCTCACCCTGGCACAGTATGTGGTGGCAGGTTCCAGCTGTGGCAGGTTCATGCTGTGAGCACTATTTAGTTTCTCTCTCTTGCTGTCCTGCAGTGGCAGATATGCTGGAGTTCAGCTGCTAGCCAGGTTCAGGGGCTCAGCTGCCTTCCCTGCAGCTCCCTCCAGATCCATCAAATCTCTAGTCAAGTCCAGGATGCCAGTCCAGAGCCTACTGTACCAACCACTGTTGTGGCCCCAGATGCCACCTCTTCCATCCCCGAGAGCTGCATCCAGGCTCAAGACCAGGCTCTCTCCGCCTCCCAATGTCTGTCTGATCCAGGAACATCATGCTAGTTTGCTGGATCCTAGGCTATGAGTTGGGGGTCAAGACTGACTTTCTACAGACTCTGCTGGCCTGTTTCCCCACTTCCTGTGTGAAGTTAGAGTCCTGACTGACTGGCCCTGCTGTAGGCTCTGTGGAGCCCCAGGGTCAGCATGTAGGTGGCAGGCCTCTGCATGTGTGGGAAGTGTGCCGGGCAGGACTTGTCCTCAGCCGCTATACCATGGAGTCAGATAACGTTCTAGGGATGAAATGTACTCAGGCCTTGGTATTCTTTGAAGTCTTCATTCCATAACTCTGCCAGTCTTGCCCTCAGTTTAGGGGAGTACTGGCCATGTGACCATGTCATGTCACCTCTCTGAGCCTGAATCTTTCATCAAGAAATTGGACTGTTGCCTATTGACCATGTGGGTCCTAAGTCACAGGGGTCAGGTTCCTGGCAAATAGGGCTCCCTAGAATGTATTCTTTCCTTTCCTTCCTGTTTATAACGTCCCCCTGGTCGTGGATCTCACCTCCCAGCTGTCAAATTTCTTCTTGAACTGGATCTCGAATGTCATATCTGAAAGGTTTTTCTGAGTTTCCCAACGCAAGCTGTAGCTGTCTCTGCTCTTGGTCAGGTTGAGGGTTGGAGGCTGCATCTGGACTGGAGGGAAGAAAATTTCAGGGAATGTCGTCCCCCCAGCAGAGTATCCAAGCTGGTCAAAGACACTCTTCACTCTGGACCAATATCCCTAACCCCAGACACTTTGACTTCTTTGAACTCTGTGGCTCTTTGAATGAGAAGGGTCACATAGGTTCATATGTTTGAGTCCCTGGTCTGGTTCCCAGTTTGAACTGTTTGGGAAGGAGGAGGGGGTATGGTCTCATTGGAAGAGGTGTGTCACTGTGGCATGGGGTGGGGTCTTTAGTTGTACTTTGCCTTTGGCTTGTGATTCAAGATGTGAGCATGGTGACACAAGCCTTTAGTTCTAGCACTTGGGAATCAGGCAGGTGGATCTACATGGACGTGAGGTTAGCCTGGTCTACGAGGTGAGATTCAGGACAGCCAGAGCTACAGAGAGAAACTCTGTCTTGAAAGACCAACTAGCCAACCATTCAATAACCAAGCAAGCAAGCAAGCAAGCAATGAAAGACGTGAGCTCTCAGCCCCTTCTCCAGCTTCCGGCCCCTGGACCTTGCTATAACTGCTCTGCACCATGAACTCTCACCCACTGGAACCATAATCCCAAAGTAAACTCTCTTCTATAAGTTGCCTTGGTCATGATATCTTGCCATAGCAATAAAAAAGTAACCAAGGCAAACGCCCATCATTACCACATCACAGTGCTCTTCCATGTTAGTCCCTAGGGTAGGGGGAGCAACTGAGGTAAGCCTGGGTTGCCCAGAGCTTGTTCATGCTTCCCTGCTTGTGTTTCAAGTATGAAAAAAACCCATGGTGTTCTCCCTCGTCCATCCACTGTTCCAGCCCTGGGCAACACACTCCCTCACTCCATCCTCCACTTTCCTCTGTGAAGTCCTTTCATTATCCCCATTTTACACATGGGAAAACTGAGTCTGTGGAAGATAAAGACTGGAGAGTGGAGAGCTCTGTCTCCATTTTTCCCTTTTAGGACCTCCACTTTGCTGCTTCAGTGACTGTGGGAGTTGCCTGAAATCAGCATGGGCTAGCAAGTCTGGTGCATATGAGCACGCTCATTTTTTTTTAAATTTGGGTGCTGGGATTTGAACTCAGGTCCTCATGCCTGTTCATCAATTGCTCTTACCCATTGAGACACACACCCAATCCAAGAAGAGATATTTCATCACTGTGAGTGAAAAATCTGCAAATCTTTGAAAGTGGCAAACACAACGATGCCAAAGAGGTCCCTGTGTTTATTAAGGTGACCCAATGGACCCCTGTAGTACTGGGAAGACATGCAGAGGCAGGGCAAACTCACTGTGGTCAAAGCTGCTGATGAACTTCCCCAGTACCAGGTGCTTAACAGAGACAGTGTACTGGTTGTGCACACTGGGGTCAGGCACGGTTAGACGGCAGTGGTAGCGGGTGTAGAGGCTGGTCTGCAGCTCCTTCACCACTGGAGAGCATCTCTTCTCCCTGGGGAAGTACGGTTGAGCTGAGAGCAGGGTTGGGGAATGCCAGACCCAGGTAAGACCTTGAAGAGGTCCGCTCCTGGGGATAAGAAGAAGCAAGGCCAGACGGACAGGGGACACTCATGGAGCTGCAGGGTTGGGGTGGCAGAAGACGGACAGAGGACACTCACGGAGCTGCAGGGCTGGGGCGGTAGAAGATGGACAGGGGACACTCACAGAGCTTCAGGGCTGGGGCGGTAGAACAGTCCAAAGGAAATAGAGCCAGTTATCTGGGTCCACACATCCCAGGAGCAGTTGAGGGACTGGACCCCATCAAAGAAGCACTGAAGGTTCTGTGGCTGGGCCTTGTCTCCTGTGGAATACACGCTCCCTCAGTCAGCCTGCCCTCTCTCACTGTTTGGGGCACCAGGTTACTCACAGAGAAGAGGTTCTTGAGGGCAGCAGAACCTGGCTGGGGACATCAGCCTGACTCTGCTCTGAGCCTGCCTGCCGCGTGTCCCCAGCTTGAAAAGAATCAGGTATCTCTGCCCCATCTTGGAAGAGGTGGACCCGCTCTAAATGTTGAGTGTCAGAATGAACTCAGAAACATAGGCGACCCTACAAACAGCCCAGCACTTGGAAACACACAGGTCTATGCTGCTGCTATTGCAGTCATGACTGCATAGCAGCCATTAACAGAACATGGATGTTGCCACAGAGCCAAGCGTGTGTGAGACAGAGTGGCCCAGCTAGAGTACTGGGGACACAGGCCTGGTGTGAGGCAATGAGGATGAGGCAAGGGAGATCCTGGAGCCCCACTTAGGTCTAGCCTGTCTCCCCTTCT